CAATGAGATCTCCATAGACACAAGCAGGTGACAGACCCTCAACCAAAAAGTTACCTAGTGCACCTTAAAATAACTCAACTAAATGTTCTAAAATATTTTAAGTAGTCATCTTTTGCTTTGTTGAAAACATTTTACTTTGTCTTTACTACATAATTCCAGGGGCGTCAGGTTAGTGTTGTTGTAAAGACCACACTAATCGAAACCAAGACCAATCCAAGACCACAGAATCAGGAGACCAGGACAAGATCAAGACCTCTGAGGATTGAGACCGAGACAAGACCAAGATGTTTAAAGAACAAGACTGGAACAAATCCGAGACCACAGCCCATCGAGACCAAATCGAGACCATCTTTGTCATTTTCTACATTTATTTGTATTTTACAGTTATTTTGGGACATATATGTCAATGTTTTTGTAGATCTATCCCCATTTGATCTGATTAATGTTCATTTATTCAAAAAATAAGCCAAGCAAACTGGACTGCACTGAAACACTCTGCGCCCCTTTATTGGACCCTCACCCACAGCTGGAGAACCTCTTTTTAACTTCCACTGGCACTTTACACAAAACTGTGAAGAAAGTGAAGAAAGTGAATTAAAGTGTGTAGATTTTTTAAACATGTTTTTTCAAGTTTCTAACTGGAGTTACATTCTCTTACTGGAGTTGCAGTGGGATTTAGCCTCTGCACACACCAAACGCAAGTCGTGACAAATACAGATGCATTTTTGCACTTTTATGAGGCAAACTTCGATCACATGTCACCGTAAGAAGTATTTTTCTAGCCGTAAAGAAATATGATTGCACTTGTCGAGTGTCAGACCTTGATTCAGAGACAAGTCCGAGTCCAAGCACCATCAAGACCAAGACAAGACCAAGTCCAAACATGGTCGAGTCTGTCATTTGTCTGAGACAAGACCAAGACCATAAAAAAATTGTCTCGAGGCTGGTCTCAAGTACTAGGACACTACGTCAAACTAAGGGAGGGTACTGTTTACCCAGGGTCCAGTGTTGGAAGGGGTCCTTTACAAAGTCTGTAAAGCTAATTTTTCATCAGACAGCATAGTGCAGGCCCTCCAACATGATTTATAACCACGTCCCAAAATGATGTGCATAATGCTTCATACTTTTATTGGGGACAGTAGCTCAGTTGGTGGAGCATTTGTCCACTGCTCCACATGTTGGCGGTTCAAATCCTGCTCCTGGGACGTAAAAACATCAATAATCATGGTGGTGTGATTCAAGCTCCAACAGATTTATGGTGTTGTTGTGTCCTTAGGCAAGACACTTAACCACCTCGTCCCCAGTGTCTCTGTACACTGGTGAATGAACGTGTGTGTGAATGGGTGAGTGGTTCCTTGATGTAAATTGCTCTGAATGCCTTCAAGGTGGAAAAAAAAAAGAAATAAGAAGAGTATCCAAACTTTTCACTGGTTGTAGTGTATCTATAAAATATAAATATATAAAGCAGAGTTATTTACCTTTGTCTTCACTACATAATTCCCTATATCTTTCTTCATATGTTTGTTGTCTTCTGTTTATTGTCTTCTGTTTGTATATAAAATGTAGAATGCTGTAAAAGTAGTAAAAATAAAGAAAAAACATTGAAAGAAACTATGTGTCCAAATTTGACTGACTGGTAGTACATAAACGAGTACATAAACTGGTACAAGATCTTGTGAGACAAAATTACCACAAGATCGTGCACACATGAGGAAAATGAGCTTGTGAGATTTTTTCCCCCCATGTGTTTATCTTTGGATCGGACAAAAAAGAATCACTTGTTGGTGAGTTACATCTCTTACAGTTTAGAAATAAGAAATCTCGAGTCCAAAATTGGAAACCGAACCGTGAAACGTATATATTAAAATGTTAAAATCTTGTCTTGTCTCGTTCTCGTGGACCCAGTCTCATATGTTGTCTCGTCTTGTGGAAATTGTCTCGTCGCATCCCTTTAAACTACATTCTACACTGACTATACCGACTTTTCCTCAGTACCAGACTTGGACTTGCAACATTTCCAAGGTTCTAAGAAAAAAACATTTATTAGAACTTAGATTTTTTTCTTCAAAATTAGGCAAATGTTCCTCATAATAATTGATGCAGTAAATTATCTTTAACTAAATGAACTATGTAACACACTCCCCTGTCCACACAATATAAAAAGCACTAAAACACGGAGATTGACAGTCACTTTTGCCAGAGGTGATAAGAGACGGTGTCATAACTGATTAAAAGCTGAGGCCATAAAACCATAAATAGGACGGCTGTGTCCATGGGCGTCAGGATGATGAAAAATGAGTGAGTTGCTGTGGTTAGATCTTTGTCTGGAGGAACACAGGTTATATCCCAGGCTGCTACCGTAACGTATTAGTGTCACGTATTGCTATGGAAAGGCCTAAAAAGTTAATGTTTTGACTGTTTTATTTAATGGTGTAAGTTCAGAGAATCTTTTTAAAGTTGCTTCTGCTAATAGGTTAAGTGTTTGAGTGACAGATGCATGCGGTATTTTAGGCTTTTGTCATGTTTAATGAATTGTGCGGGTTACGTGGCTGGTCTTGGTCCAGCAGGGAACTATGAATGGACATAATCTTATGCCTACAATCCTGCATATTTGAAAGTCCATGTTTGTTTCTTACATTATCTTGTCTTTGAACATGCATTGTCCCTTTAATAAATAAATATAAATACAAACATAATCCTTTTCCTAAACTTAACCAAACCCAAACCATAACCTAAAACCTTAAAGTGCCTATGACAGTTTAGACTGCTCATTTCACTAAAACACAGTCAAGATCATTATATGCAATATGTTTACTAATTCTTATTCTGTAAAGCACTTTGAATTACTTTGTGTACAAATCGTGCTATACAAATAAACTCGCCTTGCACTGCCTTGGACTTGAGGCAAAGGCTTGAAACAAAACAGGGACTTGTTATCACCTCTGGTACATCCCATCAACAAACTCATTTGTTTGTCACTTGTTGTGAACAAGTCTTGTGTGCAGAGAGAGGCACGATCTTCTCAGTTATGTGGCAGGTCACATCAAGAAGGGCATCTTGAAAAAATAGTCCCATATAATATGTTCGCTGTGGTGAAGTGTCCATTAGGGCTGCAAGATTAAACAAATCAGAATTGCAATATGAATGGATGCAATTAGCATATCCCAAAGGCTGCAAAAGAACCATAATTTCCTCCACAAACATCAAAATCTCCTGCTAAACCTGTAGTTTAAATCAGTACAAACATGTCCTCTGAAATGTGATTCTTGTATTAGTTCATATTTCCGTCTTTTGGTCAATTCTCCTGGATGAGGTTAGACTGCTCATTTCACTAAAACACAGTCAAGATGATTATATGTAATATGTTTACTAAAAAAAAAAATTAATAAAAATTTCCATTGTTTTAGGTTTCAAATTTTACTTCCTTGTAAATTGCAGCATCATGCTGGGAACTTCCATAACTGTTACCAGGCGACCGTGTAGTGCACTGGGCCAAAACTCCTCTAACGGAGGAACACAGTGTAAAGTATCTTTAAGTGAACTAAAAAACACTATGAAGCCATTTTATTATTACATAAAAACAAAAGGTAAACAAAAATAAGCTGCTGGTTTCAGTAGTTTAGAGACATGTATGTACCAGAGGAGGGGAAAATACCGTGAGATTTGAAAATGGTTACATCCCTGTTTGTCAATTTCAAAAATTTCATCTGCATTTTTACTTCAGTTTAAAGACTTGAAATGATCAACTCAATGCAGAGGACTTGGACTTGACTCTGGGCTATTAACTCTGAGGACCTCAGGGACCGGCCTCCTGCTGGTGCCCAGAGTCAGGACTAATCACGGGGAGTCAAGTGTTTCAGATTCATGCAGCTAAAACCTCGAACAGTCTGAAGATGTAAGACAGGAATCTACTTGACTCTGTTTAAATCCAGGCTCAAAACACCTCTGTTTAGCTGCAGATGACTGAAAGGTTTTCATTCACGCACTTTTCTGTCTAATTTAATGTCTCTCTCTCTCTTTTTAGTGTTGCAATGATATCAGAATTGCAATTTGAATGGACACAATTAGCATATCACAAAGGCTGCAAAAGAACAATAATTTCCTCCACAAACATCAAAATCTCCTGCTAAACCTGTAGTTTAAATCAGTACAAACATGTCCTCTGAAATGTGATTCTTGTATTAGTTCATATTTCCGTCTTTTGGTCAATTCTCCTGGATGAGGTTAGACTGCTCATTTCACTAAAACACAGTCAAGATGATTATATGTAATATGTTTACTAAAAAAAAAAAAAATAAAAAATTCCATTGTTTTAGGTTTCAAAATTTACTTCCTTGTAAATTGCAGCATCATGCTGGGAACTTCCATAACTGTTACCAGGCGACCGTGTAGTGCACTGGACCAAAACTCCTCTAACAGAGGAACACAGTGTAAAGTATCTTTAAGTGAACTAAAAAACACTATGAAGCCATTTTATTATTACATGAAAACAAAAGGTAAACAAAAATAAGCTGCTGGTTTCAGTAGTTTAGAGACATGTATGTACCAGCTTCAAAAAGTACCACAAAGACAAAAGCATCATATGCACCTGTAGTGAAGAAGTCCACAACAGGGAGGCACGCTCTAACCTTGCTCTTGGTATATAATGTCCATAAGACACTTCTCAGTTATGTGGCAGGTCACATCAAGAAGGGCATCTTGGAAAAATAGTCCCATATAATATTTTCGCTGTGGTGAAGTGTCCATTAGGGCTGCAAGATTAATCGAATCAGAATTGCAATTTCAACACACACAATTAGCATATCACAAAGGCTGCAAAAGAACCATAATTTCCTCCACAAACATCAAAATCTCCCGCTAAACCCATACTTAAGATCTGTACAAACATGTATTAGATCATATTTCCATCTTTTGGCCAATTCTCCTGGATGAATTTGAAATGTGAACTTTGAACGGACCTGTTATAAAATCATTAATCACAAATCTAATCGCTGCGCTTGTCATCCTTCAGCCCTAGTTCCATCTTCTCCCAAACCTCCCGGGAGAGTCTGCACGGGCACGCTCACCGTCTTCACCTCGTCGTCCGTCCGTCTCCCGCCCCGAAAGTAGAGCAGCACCCGCCGGAGCTGAGCCTGTCCCGTCCTGGTGATGAAGCCGTACAGCAGCGGGTCGGCCAGACAGTTCAGACACGAGACGGCTATGGCGACTTTGTGCGGGTACAGCAACGACTGGATGGTCTCGCAGTCCTTCACCAACGTACGGACGAGCATCATCACGTGTACGGGCCCGAAGCAGACCTCGAGACACAGCAAAACCATGAGGAGCAGCTTCGCGACGCGCTTGGACTCCTGCGCTTGCGTGGCCTGGTTGGTCTGAACCGCCCTGAAGATACCCCAAGTCGTGAAGAACAAGACCAGCGACGGAACCACGAAACCCAGAGCGAACCGGAGAATGTTAGCCCGCGCCATGTTAGTCGTCAGAGGTTGCAGTATGTCAAAACACACGGGGGCTCCACTTTGATCGCTGTCTTCTGAAGATATAGTGTTGGCGTTGAAGATAATCACTAAAACCCAGATGGCGAAGCAAACGCAAGCGGCCGTGCTGGTTTTCCGAACGAATTTGCATTTGAACGGGTGGACCACGGCGAGATAGCGGTTGAACGCGACGCAGCAGAGGAGGGCGCCGCTCATGTAGAAGTTGGTGAAGAGGCAGTAGATGGAAATGATGCAAACTAAGCCCCCGTGACCCCAGACGCCGCGCCAAAGGAAGTCCAACCAGAAACTCAACCCGATGGTGAAGGTGAGGTCGCTGAGGGCCAGGTTGAAGAGGTAGACGCCGAGTTCGTTCTTCTGGCGAATGTGCTGCCAGGAGATGAACAGGAAGAAGCAGTTGAGTGGGATGGAGGCTATGATGATGAACAGGTAGAAGAAGATGAAGGCTCTTCTGCGTGTGCTGTTGTCCACGGGGAAGCACTCAGAGGTGTTCAGGAGACTGGTGGTGGTGGAAGTGAAGTTCTCCATAATGCTGAGGGCTATCAAAAGAAATGGAAAAAAAGTGGTTGTCAATTAAAGGTTGTGGAACAAAGTAGTGTAGATGTAGATTACAGTTTGGGGCATGTTGGGTTTATGTGTGTATAGGGGTGTAACGGTACATGTATTCATGCTGAACCGTTTCGGCACAGGATGTTCGGTTCGGTGCAGGGCTGTGCACAAGTGAGTTCGCGCAATTTGTGTGTGTTTACATTACGCCACTACATGTGCAGCTACACGGCGGCTCGGCCCAGCCCCCCTCTTTGGCATTGTAACTGCAGCAGATCTACACTTACTGCAGACACTGTGGACACTTTTTTGCTGACCAAAAATATAAAGATTGAGTAAAACTTCATCTTGGAACTGGAACAAAGTTTTGATTTAATAAAAACACAAATAAACAACAAGCAAATGGTTATGTATTTTGTTCCCAAACTGTACTGAAAATGAACCAAACTGTGACTTCAAAACCGAGGAGCGTACTGAACTGTGATTTTTGTGTACAGTTACACACATATATAGAATGTACGTTCCAATCCCGACTGAACCTGTGTCTCCAGAGCCTTAAACTGCACATAGAGACACATCCAAGTTTGTCTCATTCTCAGTTCACGAACAGGCCTCATGTGAAGCTCAGAACCTCCAGAATTCCCTCCCTGAGCTGCAGAAGCCGCACTAGCACTGACTCAGGATTGGCTGCAAATGCTGGGGTTTAGTTAGTGACCTTTATAGTTTAAACCGGCTGGATTTTAGCATTGAAACTGGCAACACAGAGACTTGTGCAAGACTCATTCTGATTTTTGACTGGATAATCACCTTAAGAACCAAAACACCCAGTTTTTACAAGCAAGTTTTGTTTTTGTAATTAATAATAAATCAGCATTACTATTATCAATAAAAGCGATATTTGATTTGAACATGTTTCCCTCTGGGCACAGTGAGGTCAGGTTTATGAAATTTTTAAAATCAAAATCATAGATACACTTCCATTAAAAGGATATTAACAGATCTTACCATTGTCAAAATATACTACCATTTTTGAAGTTCATACAATATTACTTTTAATGTTAAACTTACTTCTCAAAAATGGTGAAAATTGTGCCCAAGGATCAAAATGATTCAGTTTAAAATTAAACCATTGATAACAACTAAAAGGCTAAAGGTGCATTATGTAACTTTTCTGTTGGACGGCCCACTACCTGCTTGTCTCCGCAGCGATGCCGTTGCTCGGCTTAAAACGTTCCACAGTAGTACGTTATTGGACTGGGTTATTACGTCAACATCAAATCAATGTAGATATGAAAAGCAGGTAACAAGATTTTAAAGAGGTTGACGGATCACCAGAAAAGTCACAAAACTTTCAAAAAAATTAAAAAATTAAATAAATATACTCACTTTAAAGCTTGTATTTCAACTTCATGGACATCGTGCCCAACACTACAGCAGGTCTTTGCTTTTGATTCCTTTTTTTGAGCAGATAAAGCTTTATTAAAGACTCAGGGCCCGCCTCATGGTTGCCCTTGGTTGCAACTCAATTTTCTAACGTCAACATTGTGTCGCGATAAGGCTAACCAGGTTTAATACAGGGAGGATGTGTCTGGGCCATGCTGAGTGAAAGTACTGCCTTCATAGAGGATTTATGGCCTTATTATTTACATATGACTTACTGTAACAAGATAAGTGTCAAAGTTAATTACACTGGAGTAATAACGTTATTTAAAGAACATACTGTATTATGTAAAAAATGTGAACTATAAATATCCACATATTATTCCCTCATTCAAAAACATACCAATATATTTTGCTTTTTACTCTTTAAGTACGTTTTTAAACAGGTTCTTTAATACTGTTACTTAAGTAGACTTTTACTGGAGTATTTCTTTTGCTCTGTACTTTTACTTAAATAACAATATTAAGTACTTCCTCCACCAGTGTTTGAAGTTGTACATGGCAGACCACGTGTTCATGCCATAACTGTTTATTTATACAAGAAAAGGTTCTGGAAAACAAACAAACAAACAAACAAAAAAACATTCAACAGAATTTACTCCAGAGCGCCACCAGACTGCACAAAGTCACAGCTCCATCAGAGTCACAGCTCCATCAGAGTCACAGCTCCATCAGAGTCACAGCTCCATCAGAGTCACAGCTCCTCTCACTACTTGTAACTAAACAGAATACTTGTGGACTCGAGCTGCGCTGTACAGTCTGAGCACAGGGTGAGTCTCCTAAACACTCCTGTCATGTCACAGATGAAAGCCTGTACAGTTTTTTTTAAGTCCATATCACCGCCTGACTGTTTTAAGCATTTCTGTCCTTGAATAACGTGTATTACTGCTGTGTGTTTATATTGACATCTCTGGGTCGCCTGGGCCTTTCTGTGTGGAGTTTGCATGTTTCTCCCCGTGTCTGGATGGGTCTGCTCCGGTTTCCACCATCAACTCTAAACATGCTACAGGTCTCCAGGAACAGTTCATAGTCAAGGTCAATTAAATTCAGTCAATTCAATCATTGTGTGTCTTTAGGCAAGACACTTCACCCACATTGCCTAGTATAAAAGTGGTGTGTGTGTGAGTGATGGTGGTGGTCGGAGGGTCTGTTGGCAGCTGTGCTTCTGTCAGTCTGCCCCAGGGCAGCTGTGATTACAACAGTAGCTTAGTACCCAGGTATAGAGCGAATGAATAACGCTCTGTCTTTGTGATAAAAAATGTCTGTGAAAGGACTTAAATAAAGACTTACTTTCTTCCTGGTTTGTTTTCACTGTGGTAATTCCCAGTGCTGCCAGTAGATGGCGACTGCTCCAGATCACAGTGTGTTGAGCACTGAGGCTGTCACATTATGTCTGCAATTTGGTAGAGTATTTTTGTATGTATATGAATATGGCTGTGATAAAAATTGTATTGTTTTTATGTATCTGAATTATTTTTGTTTGTTTTAATTATTATTACTGCATTGGACCACTAAGAGTATGGTTAGGGTTAAAAACATGATTATTGCTCACCCTATCATCCAAATAAGAGAATTTAAAAATAAATACAGTAGGCCTACTTGCTGTGTCCCTCCACAACAGAGCAGCACAGAGTTCAGAGAAGCTCTGCATGTGTCTGAACAGCTCATGAAAGCCGAGCCTGCACTGCCCCTCTGTGGTGAACATGAGCCAACACAATCAACACATTCAAGAGTCCAAATCTACATTTAAACAGGTGCTGCACTGCAAAAAGTAATATCTTGGTAAGTTAAAATGACTTAAATTAAGAACATTTGACTTTTTTTGATTTGATTCAAGTAAACGACAAGTATAATGATCTACCAATGAAATAAGTGTGTTTTTCTTAATTCAAGCAACATTCAATTTCTTTTCTTATTTGAAGTGAAAAGAGCTGTTGTTTTTCTTATTTTAAGTGTAGCAAGATGTATTTTCATATTTTAAGTGCAAAAAGTCTTGTCCCACTGGCAGATGATTTTAGCCTGGTTTCACTTTGTGGAAACCGTCTGATTCGTTCGCTCGACAGTAGGCGGATACTTTTTTTATTTAACCAGTCGCTGCTATTTGGTGGTGACGTATGTAATGCACCAAATCCCGTAGGAAGAAGGACAAAAGCGTCTTTCCTCTTGATAAAATTCACTAAACATTCTCTTTGTTCCGGCTTCAAATCCTCGATCTTGGAAATTGTTGCCAACACAGAATGTCTGGCTTCATCTACAGTCGTCCCTCACTATATCGTGGTTCACCTTTCGTAATCTCGCTGTTTTGCGGACTTTTTTAGTGCAATTTTGCGTGCTTTTTTTTTACAGTGCATGAACGTGTATTGTGTTCCTCCCTCTGCGACCTGATTGGCTGTAGACCGTTGTCAATCTCCTCCGTGCTGTGTCTCCTGTACAGAACAGAATGTGTTCAGTTTGACAAATTTACATAAATGTTCAATCTCTAGCAGTGAGATTCTGAAGTGCAGCGCAATTGGGCAATTGCCGCGCTTACTGTGAGGTGCAGAGCTCTGCGTCAATCCTTTCTCCTGTGCTCATTTCCGAGCCCGTCCCGATAGTAAGTCCTGGTTCAGTTCTGGTTTAGTCCTCCTCTTCAGTCATGGAATCAGCCCTAGGTTAGTCCTGGTTTAGTCTTGGTTCAGTCTGTGGCATGTGCAGTGCAAAAGTTTGATATAATCTCAGGTTAACAGGCGGGTGCGGTGCTGTACTGCGGCGCTGTGGGCGGGTGCGGGTCTCCAAAAATGGACCCGTGCAGGACTCTGTGCCGTCAGGCTCCATTACAGAAAAAAATAATCTTGGGTTTGTTACATAAAGAAGGAGGAAAATAACAAAAGGACGACAGCAGCAATAAGTTTTAAGAAGGATGCAGAAAGGGTTGTAACTGTCCTGTTTGAGAAAAGTGTATAAAGTGTGTGCTGAGGGGTTTTACAGACTTAAAACAGATATAATAATAGTAAAATATAAAGTTGACTACTTTGGATTTCACCTATCGCAGTTATTTTTAGAACATAACCTCCACATTAAATGAGGGACCACTGTACATCCATCTCGACGCTTTGTTTACTCTTGTGCTGTTCCACAAAAGCTCTGATTCCTGATCTAGTCACTGGAGAGAAATGAAATTGAGTGGAGGCACTAGGTGGCACCAGCCTGGCTAAAATTATTTTACTTAAACCATCATAAAACTTTCTTAGTTCAAGTGATCTTAACCTGGCTAGATTTTATTTTCTGTGGTGTGTATGTTTCATTCAAGTGTTTTTCAGTGGAAAATGGTAATGATCCTGCCTCTGGTCTATGGGCTAAGATTTTTTAAATTCCATGATCATGACCTTCATTCATTGTTTTCTCTGAACGTGCAAACACATGCATCTTGGACAAACGCCACTGCAAATTTTGATGAGAGCCTCCCCCCCCCGCACTTTTCCAGGGATCTGCTCTCACTAAACTCACAACCTGCTCCAAACAACACCTTTCCTCCTCTCACATCTTCACGCTGTGTCTCTACAAAACCTGACACAAAACCTTTTTTCTTTAACCAGAAATACAAGACAAATTTCTAGCAGAAAGGAGCTGTTTTTTTTTTGTTTTTTTTTTATTAAATATGACATGAGGTATCCACGAGTGAAAGACAAAGAAACACAAAACCAATCAGTTATCTTCATTCTAATGGACTTCATGTCATTTTTAATGTTTTGAGCTGCTGCAGATGTAGCAAAGTCATGCACATTTTTACAAAGAAATTGACTTAATATTTAGCAAACATTCTTTACACTTCCCAAATCCTCAAGTCCTTTTAGACATTCATTTAAACCAACTTATTTACAAATAAAAATCACATATACATAGGCTTAAAAAAAAAAAAACAAATACTGGCATTTTACTGTAATGATAATTATAAAAAAAATATTAATATGAATATTGATTTAACCCTGAGGTATTTTACATTTATCCAGTATTAACTAACACATAACATTATAATAATAACATCATAATAATTTAGATCACAATGTTATCTTTAAGTCAGGGATCAAAAACTAACCTTGCATCGCATGAATCGTCACATGTGGAGGGACTATTTTCTCAGCAGATGAGTGTTAGGTGATATCGATCCGCTGCTGCCAAACTTTCTGTCAGGAAGTACAACTCACTGCTGCTGCTCAGACATAAATCCTTCAAATGCAAGGTTGATTTTACTTCTAAAATTATTCTATCAACACAGACATTTACATCAACAGTTTGGTGTAATAATAGATTTTCTTTGAGGGTTTTGTGGAGCGCGTAAGACTGTTTTTAGTGGCAGGATAACCGCACCAGCAAAGTAAAATTCTTCTGCTGCTGCTGAGAAAATAGTCCCTCAACATACGACGATTCATGTGATGCAAGGTTAGTTTTATTTCAAGAAGAATTTTACGGGAGAGTATGCGGGCAGGTAGTAACACGGGCGGTGCAGGACTAAACCAGGACTAAACCAGGTCTAAACCAGAACTAATCCAGGACTAATCTTGAATTTAAGAGAGAACCCCAAGCCTGTGGAGCAGGGTGTCTGCAAAGCGATATCAGGCAACGGCTGCGCGTACCTCTGTGGAGATGGAGGTTGGCTTTACTTTATAAATTATTCTATCGACAGACATTTACATGGACAGTCTGGTGTAATAATAGATTTTCTTTGGGTGTTTTGTGGAGTGGGTAAGACTGTTTTTAGTGACCGGATAACTATGGCCATTGGCATGCACTAGCCTCGCACCGACAAAATAAAATTCTTCTGCTGCTGCTGAGAAAATAGTCCCTCAACATGCGACGATTAATGTGATGCAAGGTTACTTTTATTTCAAGAAAAAATTGGAGTATGCGAGCAGGTAATAACAGGGGTGAGGCAGGATTAAATCAGAACTACAGCATGACTATACCAGAAATAAACCAGGACTAAACCAGGACTAATCTTGAAATTAAGAGAGAGAACCCCGAGCCTGTGGAGCAGGGTGTCCGCAAAGTGTGATCGGATGACGATGTGGGGACGGAGCTCAAATCTGTTATTACACCAGACTGTCGATGTGATTGTCTGTGTTGATAAAATAATGTTTGAAATAAAACTAACTTTACACCGAATGAATCGTTGCATGTTGAGGGACTATTTTCTCATATATCAGTCCACCGCTGCCGAGCTTTTTATCAGGAAGTACAACTCACTACTCCTCAGACATAAATCCTTCAAATGCAAGTTTGGTTTTACTTCAAAAATGATTCTATCAGCACAGACATTTACATGGACAGTCTGGTGTAATAACAGATTTGCTTTGAATGGAGTGGGTAAGCCTAGCACCAGTGACAAATACAAGAACTTGGACGGAATATTTTTTAAAAGTGTCTCCACACGTCTCCAACACTCTGGCTCACTAGGAAATGAGGCCCTTTGTCCAAAATTCCGGACTGTCCCTTTAACATGACGCACATTGGACGCCGGTTGTAGATTTCTCTTAACGCGAGTGACTGCTTCTCATATTCTTCTTCGTTGTGACTCTCTGTTGCACTTCATTGACTTGATGGTTCAGCATGTTCAAGCTCGTTGTTCATTTCAGTCAGTGTATTATTAAGAGTTTGTAGAGGAGCTCAGTTGTAAAGTTTTGTAAAGTTGAGTGAAGCTGTTGTGAAATGGTTGGTGACTTCCAGGCTCTGGTCGCAGCTTTGTCTGGTCCTGCTCTGCAACATGTTCCAGACAATTTTCCCAGTTAAGTGGATGATATACATGAACTGTCTTTTGATTTTAGTTTCAGCGAGAAAATTGAGCTGTTGTGAAATAACTTACAGGGGATTTTCACAGAGAAAAATCCTGCAAAATAATAACAACAGTAAAATTATTGAAAAATAAAATAGAAGAGTATCTGAACACATATACACATTGTATATATTCACCCAACTATGCAATAAGGCCGTCGTCTCATATCAACATCTATATATACACACAATGGATCTTATAAACCAGCCCCGGTACATGGGCTGGGCTTTTTGACATGTCACCCTTGGGTGCTTGCCTCACCCTATTTAAGATGACCAGAGTTGGGGAGCAGATTACATGTAAAGGAATTACATAATCAGAGTACAAATTATGAGTAACTGTATTCAGTTACAGTTACTGTTTCAGTGAGTGGTAATTGGATTACAGTTACTTTGTTGAAATAAATGGATTACACTTCGGTATTTTCCTGTTTTCACATTTTGGGCTAAACCAGGTCTAAAACCAGGTCTAAACTAGATCTAAACCAGGTCTAAACCAGGACTAAACCAGGACTAAAGCAGGGCTAAAACCAGGTCTAAACTAGATCTAAACCAGGTCTAAACCAGGACTAAAGCAGGGCTAAAACCAGGTCTAAACCAGGACTAAACTAGGACTAAAGCAAGACTCTTAACCAGGTCTAAAACCAAGTCTAAACTAGGTCTAAACCAGGTCTAAACCAGGTCTAAACCAGGACTAAATCAGGACTAAACTAGAAAAGCACTCAGAGAGTGCAGACCTCCACCAAGGACTATCCCCATTTTTTATATAAATTGCGATAAAATCAGTCAAGTCAATCAGTGAAGATTTCCTCGTCTTTGCTTCTCTACAGCAAATCAAGTAATCCAAAGTATTCAGATTACATTACTCACTTTAAATAATTTAATGGATTATGTTACAAACTACATTTTCGGGTATGTAATCTGTAATCTGTAGGGGAATACATTTTAAAAGTCACCTTCCCAACACTGAAGATGACCACCTGAACTCTCATTCTGTTTGCCTCATGAAGACCTAGTGCCGAAACATTGCACGGTTTGTCCTAATCAGTGTTGAGAGTGTTACTTTTAAAATGTACTCCCCTACAGATTACAGATTACATACCTTGAAATGTAGTTTGTAACGTAATCCATTAAATTACTTAAAGTGAATAACATAATCTGAATACTTTGGATTACTTGATATTGTCATGCTTTTTAAAACGATATGAATGTAGCGACACATCCTGAAAATTCTTGTTTGTTCTCTTCAAATTCTCTGTTGAGCCCAAATCCCCATGAACATACTTTTGTTTGGTGTAGAGGAACAAAGACGAAGATGTTTTATCATCTTAAGGACAATAAAAAGATCAGTCTTTCCTTAACCAAATAAAAAATATTATTGATAGAGAAATTATTTTTATACAAGATCACTGCTGTTAGGTGTCATATTGTTTAGACCTGGTTTTAGTCCTGGTTTAGTTCTGGTTTAATACTGGTTTAATACTGGTTTAGTCCTTGGTTTAGTCCTAGTTTTACTCCTGGTTTAGTCCTAGTTTTAGTCCTGGTTTAATCCTGGTTTTAGTCCTGGTTTAGTCCTAGATAAGTCCTGGTTTAGTACTGGTTTAGTCCTTCGTTTAGTCCTGGTTTTATTCCTGGTTTAGTGCTAGTTTTAGTCCTGGTTTAGTCCTGGTTTAGTCCTAGTTTTAGTCCTGGTTTAGTCCTGGTTTAGTCCTAGTTTTAGTCCTGGTTTAGTCCTAGTTTTATTCCTGGTTTTAGTCCTATTTTAGCCCAAAATGTGAAAACAGAAAAATACCGCGGTGTAATCCATTTATTTCAACAAAGTAACTGTAATCCAATTAAAATCTCACTGAAACAGTAACTGTAACCGAATACAGTTACTAATAATTTGTACTCTGATTACGTAACCCCGGTACATGTAATCTGTTACTCCCAAGCACTGGTCCTAATAAATCTCACATTTTGCAAGTGAGACGGTGTGTGGGATTTTTTTTCTCTATGTTCTCGGGCCGCTCCCTCTCCTCCAACGCGCCCGTCTCAGGTACCAGATGTGTGAACTTCTCTCTTTTTTTTTTTTTTTTTTTTTTGCAGAGGATTTTCACCAAACAAATCTTCTAAAAACTCCAGGTTTCAAAAATCTTAACAGGTTCTGCTGAGACTTCTCACCGACCCACGGCCTCTCGCCACCTCTGACATCATTGTATAGAAATTCTTACTCGCGATGACGCACACGATGGGATTAAGAACGCTGTTGAAGAACCCAAAGTTGACGAAGAGAACTCTGCAGATAGACAAGTGCTGTATTAGGCTGCACGTTTCCTGAACGAGTTTGTATCTTACCGCTTGCTCTATCATTCTAGTTAAGCTAAACGGCAACCAGCAGATGAAAAACGCCAACAACACGCTAAGAACTAAAACGGTGGCTTTGTGTTCCTTTTGTAGTGTGCTGTCTTTGTTGCTAGGCCTTGCTCTCAGCACTTGGAGGATTTTAACGGTGCAGAATAAAATGATGAGAAATGGAATAACAAACGCCACAATGGTTTGTATCACCTCATGTGTGAAATTAAAATCCGCGGAACAATTCCACTGGCATGTGTATTCCTCTATACCATCACTAAAGGTTTCATCGTCAACTAATATGGCTCTTTTGCACATAAGAGTCGGGATGTTTAGCAGCAGACCCAAGCACCAAGCCAAAAAACAACCCAACATTGCGTATTTACGTCTACGCAGTTTGCACGGTGTCAGCGGGTAAACCAACGCTAAAAAACGGTCAGCGCAAACCAGGACGAGGAAATAGATGCTGCAGTTGTAGTTCATGACCATTAGAAGACTGACAACTGTGCACATAGGTCCACCGAAAGTCCAGACGTGATAATTGGCCAGGTATACGCCCGAGAAAGGCAAGAAGACCATCAGGAGGAGATCGGCGGCGGCCATGTTGCACAGGTAGATCTGGGTGGAGGGGCATTTCTTCTTGTGGAGCAGGAAGACCAGGAGCACCAGCAGGTTGAGGGGGATGCCCAGAGCGGAGATGATGTAGATGTACGGAGGGACCCAGGAGGTGTTGAGGTCACTGGGGTCACAGTCCTGTTCCGAGGTGTTGGGAAAACTGCGAGAACAAAAAGACATATGGATGCGAGCAGTGTTGGGAAGGTGACTTTTAAAATGTATTCCCCTACAGATTACAGATTACATACACCAAAATGTAGTTTGTAACGTAATCCATTAAATTACTTAAAGTGAGTAATGTAATCTGAATACTTTGGATTACTTGATATTGTCATGTTTTTTAAAACGACATGAATGTAGCAACTAGGGACGGGCATGATTAATCGATAATTGATCATTAAGAATTTCATCGATTACGTTAATTTTAATCGACAAACCAAATGTAGGTTGCTGTGCGTAGTGTGACCAAACAGGGGTCCGGACATGTAGCTCTGCACGCAGAAGGAGCGAGACACAAACAGTGGGTCAGTCTGCAACGTACTGAAGCACAAATATGTATTTAACGATGATTTGTACAAGAAATTCCACGCTTTCCGTTGCGTTCGGGACAAGTGTGAGTCCATGTGCACAGTGAACAAAGCAGCACATATGTTTCTGTGTCCAGTGGGGAAAAGTTTTGTCAGGTGAGAGTCGCTGCAATGTCGATAACGAGTCCCCACCTCCCTCCCCCCGTACGGTGTCCTGGTTTTGACAAACACAAATATAGTCACACTAACCTGTATTCCACTGAGTCATATTTTTTAATCCGACAGAAATTGAACCGCATCAGCGACACAAGAGCTGTAGTTTTATCTTCGCTTAGTTTATGCAAATTAGCGATGCGATTTTAAGTTTTGTTTCTGTGAAAGTTGCGCAAAACTGAATTAAACACATTATAATGTCAAACGGCCTGATGTGGCTCTAGAGTCGTTACGGTTTATTTGTCGTAAAGTTGAATTTATTTATGCAGATTAGTAGTGCAGATAGTAATAATAATGATGATCATTTTAATATAAAAATGTTAATGATTAATCGATAATCGATCCTTAATTCTTCTGACAATCGATTAAGAAAATTTCATCGAATGCCCATCCCTAGTAGCAACTAGGGATGGGTATCATTAAGAAGTTGCCAATACGATACATACTTCGATACACAGGCCACGATAGGATACATACCTTGATACAGTGCACTTTCGGTTAAATATACATATTTCAAATCGATTCAATACGGTTAATTTAAAAAAGTGCAAAGTTAATATAAAACTCAAACATTTTAATCATCAAAAACAGTGAAAATGTCAAATGTGTAACATAAACGAGTTTCCTTCCACTAAACAAGCGAAAAACACTAGCGCTGTAACAAAATAATTTAGTAAAATAAACCAAAAAATACTCTTGGTGATATATCGATACACCAGCCCACAATATCGATACTGTATCATCAAATTAAACAATACGATATATTGATATTTCTGTATTTTTGCACAGCTCTAGTAGCAACCACATCCTGAAAATTCTTGTTTGTTCTCTTCAAATTCTCTGTTGAGCCCAAGTCTCCATGAATAAGCAGCTGTTTGTTGTAGAGAAGCAAAGACCAGGAAATCTTAACATGTTTTGTTTGGTCTGCTAAAAGAAAATAAAAAGCCCAGTGTTTACTTAAGCATATTCCATTCCATTCCAGCCAGATGGAAAGATGGATAGAAAGATAGCACCATTATCCCAGGTGCACCTTTATGAAAAACAGTACAGCATAACTAGGCTGATTCATCAGCCAATTTCACTTCATACAAACTGTCTGACCTTGCAGTGTTAGAATTCGTTTGCTCGACGGCTGGCTGTCGTCAGTGAAGCGTTGGGCATGCTTCTCCAGAAGATCTCCGCTGTAGGTTTTCTGAAGGGGGTCCTGGAACGCTCTGTAGCTGAAAGGCTGATCTCCACCGGCTTGTGCAGAGTACGCTGAGGTCAGAGGTGGTAGAGTAGCCAAAACTTATAATCAAGTAAGAGTAATGTTTTCTTTAAGTAGCAGTATTACTCAAGTAAAAGTACAAAGTAGTAGTATAAGAAATTACTCAAAAACAGTATTTGGACTGTAATTTGGAGTTAAAGCTACCATCCATTAGCCTGATTCATCAGCCAGTTTTACTTCGTAGAAACCGTCTGATCTTGCAGCATTTGATTTCCCCTCCTTCGGGGGGACCCCGAGGTGTTCCCAGGCCAGCCGAGAGACATAGTCCCTCCAGCGTGTCCTGGGTCTTCCCCGGGGCCTCCTCCCGGTGGGACATGCCCAGAACACCTCCCGAGGGAGGCGCCCAGGAGGCATCCGAAACAGATGCCCGAGCCTCAGCTGGCTCCTCTCGACGTGGAGGAGCAGCGGCTCTACTCCGAACTCCTCCCGTGTGACTGAGCTCCTCACCCTATCTCTAAGGGAGCGCCCAGCCACCCTGCGGAGGAAACCCATTTCAAGCGCTTGTATCTGCGATCTCGTCCTTTCGGTCACTACCCAGAGCTCATGACCAGAGGTGAGAGTAGGAACGAAGACTGACCGGTAAATCGAGAGCTTCGCCTTTCGGCTCAGCTCCCTTTTCACCACAACGGTCCGATACAGCGACCGCATCACTGCCGAAGCTGCACCGATCCGCCTGTCAATCTCACGCTCCATCCTCCCCTCACTCGTGAACAAGACCCCGAGATACTTGAACTCCTCCACTTGAGGCAAAGACTCCCCACCCACCCGGAGAGGGCAAGCCACCTTTTTCCGGTCGAGAACCATGGCCTCAGACTTAGAAGAGCTGATCTTCATCCCAGCCGCTTCACACTCGGCTGCAAACCGCCCCAGTGCACATTGCAGGTCCTGGTGCGATGAAGCCAACAGGACAACATCATCCGCAAACAGCAGAGATGAAATCCTGTGGTCCCCAAACCGGACCCCCTCCGGCCCCTGACTGCGCCTAGAAATTCTGTCCATAAATACAATGAACAGAACCGGTGACAAAGGGCAGCCCTGGCGGAGTCCAACATGCACCGGGAGCAGGTCTGACTTACTGCCGGCAATGCGAACACAGCTCCTGCTCCAGTCATACAGGGACCGGACAGCCCTTAGCAAAGAGCCCCGAACCCCATACTCCCAGAGCACCCCCCACAGGACACCACGAGGGACACGGTCGAATGCCTTCTCCAAGTCCACAAAGCACATGTGGACTGGTTGGGCAAACTCCCATGAACCCTCGAGCACCCGATGGAGAGTATAGAGCTGGTCCAGTGTTCCACGACCAGGACGAAAACCACACTGCTCCTCCTGGATCCGAGGTTCGACTATCGGCTCCTCTCCAGTACCCTGGCATAGACCTTACCGGGAAGGCTGAGGAGTGTGATCCCCCTATAGTTGGAACACACCCTCCGGTCCCCCTTCTTATACAGAGGGACCACCACCCCGGTTTGCCAGTCCAGAGGTACTGTTCCCGACCGCCACGCGATGTTGAAGAGGCGTGTCAGCCAAGACAGCCCCACAACATCCAGAGACTTAAGGTACTCAGGACGGATCTCATCCAATCCCGGAGCCTTGCCACCAAGGAGCTTTCCAACCACCTCAGTGACTTCAGCCAGGGTGATGGATGAGTCCGCCTCCGAGTCCCCAGCCTCGGCCTCCTCCTCGGAAGACGTGACGGTGGGATTGAGGAGATCCTCAAAGTATTCTTTCCACCGCCGGACAACGTCCCCAGTCGAGGTCAGCAGCTCTCCCCCCGCACTGTAAACAGTGTTGGTGAAGAACTGCTTCCCCCTCCTGAGGCGCCGGACGGTTTGCCAGAATTTCTTTGAGGCCGTCCGATAGTCCTTCTCCATGGCCTCCCCGAACTCCTCCCAGCTCTGAGTTTTTGCCTCCGCGATCACACGAGCTGCAGCACGCTTGGCCCGCCGGTACCCGTCAGCTGCTTCAGGAGTCCCCCAAGCCAGCAAGGCCTGATAGGACTCCTTCTTCAGCTTGACGGCATCCCTTACTTCCGGTGTCCACCACCGGGTTGCCGCCGCGACAAGCACCACAGACCTTACGCCCACAGCTCCGAGCAGCCGCATTGACAATAGAGGCCGAGAATGAAGCCCACTCGGACTCTATATCTCCAGCCTCCCCCAGAATCCGGGAGAAGTCCAAGTGTCCAAGACACACGGCCGGAGATCAGATGACACGACTACAAAGTCGATCATCGACCTCCGGCCTAGGGTGTCCTGGTGCCACGTGCACTTATGGACACCCTTGTGCTCGAACATGGTGTTCGTTATGGACAAACCGTGACTAGCACAGAAGTCCAATAACAAAACACCGCTCGGGTTCAGATCGGGGAGGCCGTTCCTCCCAATCACCCCTCTCCAAGTGTCACTGTCGTTGCCCCAGGAGAACAACGGAGTCCCCGGTCGGTGCACTGTCTAGTACCCCTCCCAAGGACTCCAAGAAGGCCTGGGTACTCAGCACTGCTGTTCGGCCCGTAGGCCGACACCACAGTGAGAGACCTGTCCCCGACCCGAAGGCGCAGGGACGCGACCCTCTTGTTCACCGGGGTGAACTCCAACACACAGTGGCTGAGCTGTGGGGCAATGAGCCCACACCAGCCCGCCGCCGCTCCCCGCGGCCAACGCCAGAGAAATGGAGAGTCCAGCCCCTCTCAAGGAGTTGGGTTCCAGAGCCCAAACTGTGCGTGGAGGTGAGGCCGACTATATCTAGTCGGTAACGCTCAACCTCCCGCACAAGCTCAGGCTCCTTTCCCCCCAGCGAGGTGACATTCCATGTCCCCAGAGCTAGTCAGAAGCCCCACATGATGAGCAACACACAGAGGCCAGTTACGTCGCCTGGATTGGCGTCACCGGGGCCTCACCCTGGAGCCAGGCCTGGGGTGGGTGCTCGTCAGCGAGCGCCTGATGGCCGGGCCTTCCCCCACGGGGCTCTGCCGGGCTCAGCCCGAAGGAGCGACGTGGGGCCGTCCTCATGTGGGCCCACCACCCGCGGGAGGAGCCATATGGGGCCGGTGCAGAGAGATCTGGGCGGCAGTCGACGGCGGGGACCTCGGCGACCAGATCTCCGGACATATTTAACCAATCGCTGCTATTTGGTCGTGACATATGTAATGCGCCGCTAACGGGGATAACTGGTATATTAAGATTTTCCCAAATCCTGTGGGAAGAAGGACAATAACGTCTTTCCCCTTGATAAAATTCACCAAACATTCTCTTTATTCCAGGTTTAAATCCTCGATCTCGGGAATCATTGACAACACAGAATGTTTGGCTCTTCGCTGATTGTCTGGTGGTTTTTGAAAACTGTCTTGTGTATTCCGATTCCTGATGTAGTCGCTGGAGAGAAATAAATTTGAGCGGAGGCACTAGGTCGCGCCAGTCTGGATACAGCGCAATATAAGGGGAGGAAGAGGAGAAAAAAAAAGAAGCAACCCCCCCACAGCACTCCTATGAGAAGCATTGTGTGGGACAATATATATCGGTTTAGAGACACATTTCAATCCAACCTGCGGTCAATGGCTGCAATCCTTTCAGGGACATTTTCCAAAATGTGGCATGAAGCCGCAGATCCCTCCCTCACAGTTTGATCACCGGAAGCCCTGCCCCCAGTTCAGTCAAGCCTGGCAGAAGGGTACAACTTCTGTAAACAAATTTTCCGAAAAATCAGGGTCACGCCTAATCCGCTCAGCAAAAGTCCTGTAATCATGATTCAGAATTGGCAATTATCTTCTATGTCCTCCACAGAAAGAACATTGCAATTAATTTAGGTTTGGAAGAGCGGAAAATGTCTGACACTAGACTAAACAAAAGCAAAGCTGGGAAGAGGAGAGGAGAGAAAAAAATGTGTCCGTCCTGTTACGCAAAATAACAAGGCATAGGGTTAGATGAGAGATAAGACACCAACCCTCCACCAGGACACAGGGCCCTTTAATTTAAACCTAACCAGGGATGGACGCTGTAAATCACACTTCATGGTTTGAAATTAATGCGATTCTTGTCTCTGCAGATTAAGCAAAGATACACGAACATTCACATAGGCGGTGGCTCCCTCTTTTCTCCATCACTCGAGGAAAAACAAAAACTAAACCACAACAGTCCATCAAAAAAGTAGGATATTAAACACGGTCGGTCAAGTTTCCCTGAAGTCAGAGAGACGCAAATCAGGGTTTAACTCAGGCAAATGATTCTGTCTTGTGTGGTGGACTTTGTATAGTTAAAAGAAAAGACAAACTGACATTTCATAGTGGAGATTTGATAAATACTTTTCTTAGTGCTGTCAAGCGATAAAAAAAATTGAGCGATTAATTAATTATGATCTGTAAGTAATTGATCTAATTAATCTCTTTTTAATCTCACCTAAAAATTGCTCAACTTGAGGTATTTTCATTTAAATTCATGATTACATTATTGTGACAGATCAAAAGACTGATATAGAACAAAAAAAGTGACTTCATTACAGATGCAGTCACTTAGGTTACGTTCAGACTGCAGGGCTTAACGCTCAATTCCGATTTTTTTGTGAAATCCGATGTTTTTGCGAGGTCGTTCACATTTCCAATTAAATGTGACTTGTATGTGACTCCAGTGTGAACGTTAAACGGCCTGTAAGTGTCCTGCATGTGCACTGGAGACACGACGACGTCAACCGCAGCGAGCGTCTCTGTGTTTACGGAAGTTGTCCAAACATGGACGCAGCATTGAGCACCTGGAGATTTTAAAGTTTCTCTCGTACCGGAGCCAGAACATGAACAACTTACTTGTTTTAAGGAGCAAATTAAGAAGGAGAAGGACGAGGTTTTTGGCCGTGGTGTTTTGTAGGACAGCGGCAGCGACGTCCGTTGAAAGGAACGTGTGGATGTGGAGACGTAGCCAAGAGTGGTGAGTGGTGATGTGCTTCACTTCAGTGACACGGAGTTCATTAACAATTTTCGCCTACTTCAGCGCAGAATAGTGACGTTTGTGGCTTGTTGATAACGTGCAGGTCGGATGAATGCGTTTTAGCCGTTCAGACTGAAGTCGCATGTCAAAAGATCAGATATGTATCGGTTTCAGGACCACATATCCAAGTGTCCTGGGTCGCATTTGAAAAAATCGGATCTGTGTCGTTCAGACTGTCAATTAAAAGATCAGATACAGGAACATAGAGGTCAAAAAATCGGATTTGGGTCACTTCAGGCTGCAGTCTGAACGCAGCCTTACATTCCACAGTATCATCATTATTATTACTATTACTAATCTGCATAAATAAATTCAACTTTACAACATATAAACCATAACCACTCTAGAGCCACATCAGCCCGTTTGACATTATAATGTGTTTAATGCAGTTTTGCGCAAGTCACACAGAAACTAAACTTAAAACTGCATGGCTAATTTGCATAAACTAAGCAGGGAAAAGAAAAAAAAAAAAAAAAAAATGCTCTTGTGTGCTGATGCGGTTCAGCTTCTGTTGGACTAAAGGACACGACTCAGTGGAATATGAGTGTTCTCTCTGGGACAGAGGGATGTTGAAGGTGAAGGTGAGTGTTCTGTGTGTCGCAATATTTTCAAAGATTACAGGTTTATCGCAGATGCGGGCGAGAACGGAATGAGAATTACAATTCTTGTGTTGTGTCCCAATAACACAAAAAAACAGATTTTATAATAAGGCAACTCGCAAACAGAAACAGTAAAGTTAGAGATTAAAAATTAGATTGAACGTGATTAAAAAACATGACGCTAGGGGGCGACAGTAGCTCAGTTGGTGGAGCATTCGCCCACTGATCTCAAGGTTGGCGGTTTGAATCCAGCTCTCGACATAAACATCACAGGTTGAGCTCAGATCCACTGACCCACAGGTTGGCTGGTGTGATTCCAGCTCCCACAGATGAATGCTGTCGTTGTGTCCTTGGGCAAGACACTTAACCCACCTTACCCACAGTGTCTGTGTACACTGGTGTGTGAATGGGTGAGTGGTTCCTTGTTGTAAAGCGCTTTGAGTGCCTTGAAGGTAGAAAAGCGCTATAGAAAAATGTGACCATTTACCATAAATATGACTGTAATTAATTAATCAATTGCAATTAACGCGTTTTTCATTTGACACCCTTAACTTTTCTCCCTCCTTCCTCCTTCTTTGCCGTATCTTAGTAACTTAAACTTAAGCACACATACACACATCTGGGAGAGTTGACCTTCTGTGGGGAGTGCACATTGTTTTGATTATCCTTTTACAGCTGAAGCTTAGAGCTGTAAAACGCACAATGAGTCAATCATTAACAGTGTTTGCCAAGAAATGCAGTCATCTTTATTGGAAAATAATATGGCAGGTTAGATTATTGATTTAATGAAAAACACAGTTAACGTCATTATATTTATGACTTCTCAAATGATGATGATGCCTAGTTTTAAAGTTTTGGTTTATAATTTGACTTCTTGGTTGAATGGAAGTTTGCCTAAACTTGTCTCAATTACACAACAATTATCTTTAGTTAAATTGCCTTTCTGGCATGTAAAATAGTTTTCCGTGCTGATGATACAGGCAGAGGGATTCTGTTTAAAAGCACACAGATACTTGTGTCTTTTCATCAGCTTTTTCTCACAAACTGCCTTTTAACTGATACAACTATGACACATACTGACAAAGGTACAAAGTCATACAAAAGTCAAAGGTACAAAGTCATAAAAAAAACAACAACATGAAAACTTACTCGCTTTAACAAAATAATGTCATTGAAAAACCTCTCCGTACCTGGTTGGCATGTCTTTGTTGGCGTTCCGAGGTTTTCCCGCTGGGATTCTGGTGTGTCTGCTCCGGTCTGTCCTCTCTCCCTCTTATCCGTTCCAGAAAAGTGCAGACTTCCTTGTAAGCTGCACTCCCCACGCAGCCTTTATATACTGCTACTGGGTCATGTGTCAGCTTTCTTTGTTTCTGTTTCACTAAAGTAAATTGCGTAATGTACAACTTGTAAGAAAGTAAATGATGCAAAAAAGCAGTGAAGGATATTTGATCTTAAATGGTCTGGCTAAAGCAGAACTAAACATTGACTCTTGTAAGCTTTAAGTCATTTTATAAAGTTGTAAAAAACAGACCTGGAGTTGTCTTTTGTTTCATTCATGTTTGAGAAATTGTCTACATCTCCAAAGCTCAAAGTGCTCTGTCTCACCCACAGGCTACATATATATTTTAATTCAAACAGGAAGACAGTGTGGACGTGCTCCCATTTCCATTGACTAAGGGTGCAATTTATTTTGTATAGAAAAAATATTGCTCCTCCTTGCATAACTGCTGCTGTCCAACTTGTCATTTTGTTCTTAAAAATATTAGTATCAACCCTCTCCAGGCAGGCGTTGCAGATTTGCAACAGCTAAATGCCAATTACTTACTTACTCTACATCCATATTTTATGAGCCTTTTTTACTCAGGAGCCTTTTTTCCCATCCATGCTGATAAACGTAGATGATGCAGACTGTGCAAGAATGACTACATAGAAACGGCCTGTCAGAAGTAAAAAGTACTTTTATTGTTTACAAAGGATAAAAATTGTTTCACCACACAAAAAAATGATGTTGTTCTGCCACTGTAAAGCTGTTACACTGTGCTTTTTGTTTTCATTGTTATGAAAAGTGGTATACAAATACAGTTAGCGTTCATATCATTTTCAGTCTTCAGTGTTAAAGGTTGTATGGAGGATTTTTTTTGTTTCAAATTGTCAATGATAGATTATAGAGGTGCAGTAGCCTTGTAATTATGATGACCAAAAAAAAGAGAATAAAAATTCATCAACTCTGGACGTGGTGGGGCTAAACATTTGCCAATAGATAACGACACTGCCTCGTTATCTGTGAGCTGACAGGCTGTCAATCAATCTCCCTACGTTTCTAGCGTAACTGACTTGCCTGCGCCGCCGGTACGTGGTTTACGTACGACTGTCACGCAGTCCACAGACGCAAGCCGCACAGACGCTGTTTACTCCACCAACGCAACAGTTCTTAGCGGCTTTTTTTGACCTATATCTTCCTCGCAGTTCGCACAAAGTTTGTTGCAATGGCGACAAGAATCCAGGAGCAGTTCGCTGCAAAAGAAAGTCTGTTTTTGAGGTCGCTGAAAGAAGAAGACAAGGGGAAAAGCAGCGAAGCCAAACTAAGGTGATTCTTGAAGATTCATTCCAGCGATGGTGCGACTGAAGCAGACGCAGGGTCTAAAGACTGACGCACATTGGTCCACAAAATTACTCCTGGACAGGAAACTTCTGCTTATTATGAAAACGTACTTTATTTCCAAGAGCTACACAAACGTTTTTCAGGACACGAAAGCGATATCCTATGTCTGAAAACGTAATTTTCAAGGCAAAGAAAGAGTCCGCTTGCTGCTGCGTGTTGTAGCTAGTTCATTCGCACTGAATCTCCCGCGCACTCTTCTCTGCACCCCTTTCCTGCTCCTCTCCCCGCTGCCCGTTCCGCTCTTCTCCCTGCTCCTCACTTTCTCCGGGCACGGAAATCTGCTCTCCACCGCACCGCTCCCCTCTCCCCCGCTCCTCACTTCTCCGTCTTGCCTAACCAACACTGTAGTTAGTTGTTTACAAGTCATGTGCAGCGGCTGTAAACAAACCTGTTTCTGGCGTAAGGAGGAGGCGGGAGGAGGCGTTTCTACGTAGGAGCTGTAGGGAGGGGGGGTGGTTTCACGCATGCGCAACATTTGAAAAAGGACAAACAGTCGCTGGATTTCTCGTTCCTTGGAAAATCCTCTATACAACCTTTAATTTACCACACCGGGTCAATGCTGCAAATCTTCAACATCCCAGAACGCACTGGATGTGAAGGTCTCTCCAAAAAAAAAAGTCAGGATTGTATATTACTACCCCATAAGATCATTTTCTCCAAATATCAGATTTTTCCTGATACAAAAAATTTACTTGAGCCTGAGAGGGTTAACTCACTTTACATGATCCCATTGTTTTATTTCACTGTTTTGTCTGTAAATCAATTCCTTTTCCGAATATGGAACTTCGCTTCTCTTCATAATTACCAGCTTCGGTGAGCTAGTGAAGCTCTACAGAGTTTTAAAACACAGTGGAGCTCTTCCTCTACACCTGCAAACCGAATTTTGGACTTCCGGTCATTCACGCAATGCATACTGGGAAGGATTCTCCGAAAAAGTGAGCATCAAACCGTCAAGTTTGATTTCCCAGTGGGATGCGTCTATTGTCAAAGTTGATCTTTTCAAGTCTTTTGAACCATATCACTTTTGTTTCTGGTTCTTATATTGTCATATTTTAGTTATGGATCCTCGGCGGGTGAACTGCGTAATCAGATCTGTCTGTTTCCCTTCCCAACGGAACTGCAGCTGATATATTACCAATAAAATGGGAGTTGGACGAGCCGATAATTCACTATAAATCTTCAAATTGATTATAAAACTTAGGTCTGTTTCTGCTGGGTTTTATATTGGGTTAGTATTTATTGTTATTCTGGCTCTTTACACTCATATTTAAAGACAGTAGATCGGCCTAATGGCATCTTTGCATGATGTTATCCTGTAAACAAAGTAAGTAAATAATTGCATAGCCTTCAGCGGTAAGTTCTTAAGAGAAGAACTCTGCTTACATAGCTTTCCTTTCATCTAATTGTGGCAATCGAGAGGTTAACATTGTAACCAAACAAACCAGTCTTACCACATAATGTTACCCTGGAGGGTGTAGGTTTGGCGCTTCCCACTGCACCTGTTACTTTCAGTCAAAGATCTCCAGCTTCTGTCTTTGTGAGCTACTGCTGCTCCAGAGAAGGACCACAGCATCAACACTGCAGCTGACAAAGATTGATTACGGGGCTAAAGTGAACACCACAACTTGCCAATTCCAGAAACGAGACTCTACCGATGGGTGCAAGAAGAAGATCTTAGATCACAGAAACTGGAGAAGGAGCAAGTCGTTGGTCCTGATAACTCCATTGTTTGCATCTGTGGCCTCACGAAAATCGACAAAAGGAGTACAGCACAGAGTCCATCATGTACAATGTGGCCCGACACCTGAAGACCATCCTCCAGAATTTATGAGCAAAGTCAAACATCTCCAGTTTGACCCAGACGAGACAATGGTTTCCTTTTCACTTGTATCCCTACTTCAGTAGCGGTGGAGGCAGCACAGAGGAGACCACTGCAGAATAGAAAGCTAGAAGCAGGATTCCCACTCTTTTTCAAAATGACTCCATGACTTTTTCATGACCTAAAGTGAATTTTCCATAACTTTACAACACCTACATGTGTAGAATTGATCAGACTTTAAGGGCTAAATATGAAATGTTAAATCTTTCCACTCACCTTATGGTTTGGGATTATAGTTTTTTAACATTCAAAATCCTGTCAGTGCATTTATTGTCGTCTCTTTTAAACAAAAAATGAAAATAATCATAATAGCCAAATGAGAACTTAACAGAAATCTGTAGTTGTGTGAAAGAGTTACTAAAATTCCATGAGCTTTCTAAAACTTTCACTGAGTTTACAAAATTCCACGACTTTTCTAGGCCTGGAAAATTAAATTTTCAATTTCTATGACTTTTCCAGGATTTCCATGACTGTGGGAACCCTGTAGAAGAGAGAACTAAACTTTCACCTGAAATCTGCCTAGAAAGTTGTTTAAACACCACATATTTTCAGTTCAGAGGAAACTTCTAGGCAGAAGTTGGGCTCACTGGTCTCTCCCAAGTCACTGATTTTCAAGTCCAAGTCGAGTCCCAAGTCTTAGTTAATTTTATCATCAAATCAAATCAAATCAAACTTTATTTATAAAGCACTTTTCATACAAAATGCAACACAAAGTGCTTTACAGTGATTAAAACAGTCCCGCATTTCCAACCACCCAACCCCCGCACCCCCAACCCCACATAGTCAAACAACCCAAACACACACACTCACAAACACACAAACATGCACACACACACACACACACACACACTCACACTCACACGCTAAAATACATAACCGGACACAATAAAATGTGAGGCTGAATACAGGCGAACCAGTTTGAGAAAGCACCATCAGAGGAGCCGTCTGCACCAGCGGGAGCACCGGGAGCAGAGAGACGTCCACCACCACCAGGAACCACCACAGGGTCCAGGGGAGAGATGAAGCCCAGGCACCTGAGGCCCAAGCACCATCCCTCCGCCAGGAGCCCACATGACAGACCCAGCAGCCACAGCTGACCTCCACTCCCGATGCAGAGGCTCCTACAGAGGAAACACTGGAAATCCTAAAAAATATGCCTAAAATAAATAAATATAATAAAATGTGTACAATAAAAACAAGTAAAAGTATAAGATTTCAATCAAAAGCTAAGCTAAAAAGGTGGGTCTTGAGCCTGCTCTTAAAAACATGAACGTTCTCTGCAGCCCTGAGCTCCTCCGGCTGCAGTTCCATAGACGAGGGCCATAGTACTGAAAAGACGCCTCTCCCTGAGTGTGTGTCCTGACTTTAGGGAATGACCAGGAGCTGCTGCCGGAGGAGCGCAGGGTCCGCGAGGGTTCGTAAGGTAAAAGCAGTTCTGAAAGATAAGAAGGCCCAAGACCATTAAGACATTTAAAAACCAGTAAAAGAACTTTAAAATCGATCCTGAAACACACAGGGAGCCAATGCAGTGATTTTAAAACCGGTGTAATGTGGTCCCACCTCTGGTCCTCGTCAGGACACGCGCTGCTGAATTTTGTAATAATTGCAAACCTGAAATCATGTCAAGTCTCAAGTGCTAAAAATACTGACTCAGGTCTGACTCGAATCAAGTCACGACTTGCAAGTCCCCACCTCTGATTGAAAACATTGAATGTGACACATGAATGTTCTTTTATTTAAATGTGATTATTACTC